AACAAACCAAGAAAAAATTTTCACAGCAAGAAATTAGTACGCAGCATTGCGACAGAGAAAATTTTCACAGAAAACAAAAGGAAATTTGTGAATGTGAAAAATAATGTGCGTTTGAAAATGCTACTGGACACTGGTAGTGATATTTCAATAATCAGGGAAACCACATGGAATGAAATTGCAAAGGACTTATAGAAAAGGACTTCTAAAGTTGCGATTTCAATTTCTGGCGAGAATTTTTTTTTTTGAGAAATGCCTTGTAGTGTCTCATTTCGTAATAAGCATGTAAAAACTAAAGTTTATGTATTAAAAATCTACGAATTTATTCGGTACTGACTGGATGGTGCTGTTTGAACTTTGGGATTTGCCGATAAAATTTATTGTAAAAACGTAAGTGGACAAGCGACCAATTTAAAAAGTCAGAGCGAAAATCTTTTGGGAGAATTTAAAAAATGTTTTCCAGGTGTTCTGTCAAATAAACTGGGTCAGTGTTCAAAATTCAAGGCTGATTTTCAGGTAAAAAAAGTTCGACGCCACTATTTAAGCCAAAACGGAGCGTACCGTTCGCAACACTGAAAAACGTCAACAAAGAGTTCGACAGTCTTGAAAGAATTGGCGAAATAGAAAAAATTAACCATTCAAAATGGGCTGCACCTGCGGTGTATGTAAAGAAAAAAAATCTTGTTTACGGGGATTTCTCGACAGGATTAAACAGTTGTTTAGAAATACAAACGAGGGAAGACCCTTTTCAAAGCTGAATAACTCTGAAGCGTATTTACAAATTCAGATTGTAAATAAATGTTCAGAATTAACGACTATAAATATGGAGAGAGGATTATATATGTTTAACCGACTTTCTTTTGGTACAAAGGTGGCACCAGCTATTTTTCAGCAAGCTATGCAAAACATGCTTACGGACTGCGGTTTTGCAGTGGCGTATTTTGACGACATTTTAATCAAAAGTATATCTAAGGAACAACATGTTGGGCATGTGAAGACAATTTTGAAAAAAATAAGAGTACTGATTCAAGCTCAGTGAATAAAAATACGAATTGTTTTTTGCCGATAATTAAATACATTGGTCAAATTATTGATAAAAATGCTTCTCAACCAGATCCATCGAGAGCAAGTGCAATTACAAATATGCCCCCACAAACAAACGTGACTATGTTACAAGCTTTTCTAAGACTGGCTAATTACTATCACATAGAGCTCCACTGAAAATATACTTAAAAAAGGAGTAAATGTGGAACTGGGATGATAATTGTCAAAAGGCGTTTGACGAAATAAAAAAAACAACAACACTTACATCAGATTTATTATTATCACACTACGATCCAAAATCAGAAATTGTAGTGGCGTCAGATGCTAGTGAGTACGGTATTGGAGCGGTGATTTTACACAAATATGATAGCGGTAAAATGAAAGCCTTCGCTCAAGCTTCACGCTAACTTCTAGCAGCAGAGAAAAATTACAGCCAGATAGAAAAAGTGGCTCTAGCAATTATATTTGCTGTGAAAAAATTTCATAAATTTATTCATGGAAAAAATTTAGGTTGCAATCAGAGCACGACAGATTGTTCTTCTGTCTGCGGAAGCATTCGATGAAAAAAAAACAACTTCTAAATCAAAAATTATCGCATATTGATCAAGTGAAATGCGAGTGTCGAGGCTAACTTGAACTGAGACCTTGTGTCAATGAAAATTAGCTCTGTGCATTAATAGCCAGATACCTACTGTGCATGTGCCTGTTCATACGCATGCGCAGTTGATGTTGATACCCACGTTGCCGGAAATTCTGTCTAAATTCAGTTTCGTCTTTGTAACGGTATGATCTGTGACGTTCTGACCGTAGTGAACCATGCGCCCCTCCTAAAAAGGGCAAAATAAAAAAGAATGCCGTGAGTGTAATGAAGACTGGACGCACAAATGTTTCTTCAGCAGTTCAGGGAATAAGGCAGTGTGTTTACTGTGTCACGAAATGGTTTCTATCTTCAAGGAATAAGATCAGAAACGGCACCACCAAACAAAACCTGCCGGGTTTGATAGCGAAATGTCAGAGGAAAAACGTAGGAAAAAGGCTGCAGAGTGTGTTACGAAACTGAAGAAGGAACAGACCATATTTACGAAGCAATCGCCGCTTCAGGATAGTTCTACAGAAGCAAGCTCCATGATAGCACACAACGGCGCTAAAAACAACCTATTTTCCGATGGGTGTTTGATAATCAAGGCTTTGTAGATTGCGCAAACGTCCTGTGTCCTGATGAAAGAAACAAATTCGAAACCATTTCATTATCAAGAAATTATGGGCGCATAGATATAATCAGTGACAAACTAGCAGAACAGCTGAACTCTGCGAGCAAAGATTTGGTTTTCTTTAACACTGGATGAGAGCATCGATAATCAAGATATTGCGCAGATACTTATCTTTTCGGTGGAATTATTAATTTTGTTATCACAAAGGAACTACTTGGTTTGGAATCGATGAAAAATACAATCGATGGGGCCCAGAGCATTTATTGGGAAAATCTGGCTACTTTTCGCGAACAAGTTAAAAGCAGAAACCCCAGACAGTAATATCGTAGAATTTTGCACCAAGAAAGCCGTTGTAGAGTTGCACTGGACCTAAAGCATGTTGTAGATCCTGTAGTGAGCGTGATGAACACAATCAGAACAAGGGCGCTCAACCATCGACAATTTGATCTCTGCTTGAGGACATGGAGGCAAAGTACAGAGATGTGATTTACCAAAATAGTTTTTAGTGGTTGAGCATGGGCAAAGTCTTAAAACGTGTTTTGCGATCAAAATCGAATGTGAGGACTGGGGATATAGGACAATGTTTGCAAATGATATGCTTAAATAAATTGAATATAACGTTGAAATTGAAATGTTGAGGCGTGTGAGCTCATTCAAAATAAAACTATGTCTATTTGCTAGGCAAGCAGATGAGGGCGAGTTTTGTTATTTCCCTTGTTTTAGGAAAACAGAAAGTGCCTGAAAACGTTTCTTCCAAGATTTGGGATCATTTGCTGAATTTGGAGGCTCAGGTCAAAAGATGATTTCAGGACTTCAAGAAAACTGAGTCTGAATTCAATTTTCTATCTTATCCTTTCACTGCTGATATTGATACAGTATCTGAGGCTGGTGCAGCTTGAACTTATTGACATGCAGTCAAATCACACATGAAAGAAATGTTTAATTCTGTGACATCGATAGATTGTTAAAAAATCTCTATCTACTGAAAAGGTTCTGTGTCTGAAGAAATTTACTGGGAAAATGTTTTGTATTTTGCAGGAAAATCAACAAGAGTAAAAATAGATCCTCTGTGCCTGACCTAAACTTGTAGATAAGTGATAAGCATTTCAACAAGCAACCTCACTTCTGATTTCAAAAGACTGTAACACAGTGTGAACGTTTAAATTTTTCTCACTAAATTACTTCTGCTGGCTGATGTGTAATTTGCACATAAAAAAATTAATGAAATCTTTTCTGTGTACCACTATTGTTTTAGTTATATATATATATATATATTTTAATTTAATTTTTTATTTTAAGCTTTTCACCACAAGCAAGATCAGATAGGAGTGATAGAAGAAAAGATGAGAAGAAGCATAGTGGATAGATCAAGGCAACTGGAGATGTCGATTGACATTACATTTGAATAGTTGGAGATTATAGCTCTCAGGGAAACTGGAATATGGAAGGGAGTTCCACAGGCGAGAGGTGCAAGACATGAAGCCTTTGGAGTAGAAGAGACGGCTACGTTTAGTAGTTTCGGCAGTGAAAGGGTGAGAGCGGGATGCCAGCCTCGTAGGGCACTTGAATTCATGAAGTCTGGGAACCAGCGAATGCAGCTCCTCGGAGCAATTACCATGAAAGTATTTGTAAAAAAGACAGAGAGAGAGAGACGACGGCGCGTCTGTGAGAGAGCGACTGTAGACGAGATGCCAGGACAGGGCCAATTATATTGCATATCCGCCTCTGGAGCTTATCAAGAAGCCCGAGGCAAACAGAAGGGGCTCCAGACCATATATGGCAGCAATACTCCATGCAAGGAAGAATGGTTGATTTGTAGATTTGAAGGATCGATTCCGGGGAGAAAAATTTCCTGGTGCGGCTCAGGGAGCCAACTTTCTTTGCGGTGAACGAAGCAATTGACTCAATGTATTTGTTCCATCTCAGGTCAGCAGTCAACGTGAGGTGCTCTCGGGAAGTTGAGCGTCAGACATTCTAATGGAGGGCAGGGAAGGATCTCTGTGGTGATTATTATTATTATTATGATGCAATTTGCACTTCGCATTAAATAAAAAGTAATGTTAACACATGAATCTGTTTTAGAAAGTGCGGCTCTTCGCTATCCACGGACTTCTCAAAGTGGCTCTCGAGCCAAAACAATTGCCCACCCGTGATTTATAAGCGCTACAAAGCACGTTATAATATTTTCTATCTAAATTTTTCTCTATTTTTCTTTTTTTTATTATTTCTTTCTACATTTTTCAGTCTGTATTTCTTTAATTTTTTACTTCTTCTTTCTTTTCGTCTAATTGTGTTCGTTTTTTTATTTATTTTCCTTTCTTTCTTTTCTTCTTTTCGGTTTTCTTTTTTTCTTTTTTCTTTTCTTTTTTCTTTTTAATTGTGTTAGCTTTTTTTTGTTTATTTTCCTTTCTTTCTTTCTTCTTTCGGTTTTCTTTTCTTTCCTTTTTTATCTTTCTTTCTTTTTTTTTGTTTCGTTTTTGTTTTTTTCCTTCCTTTCTTTTTTCTTTCGGTTTTCTTTATAGGTTTTCTTTTATCTTTTTAATCTTTCTTTCTTTTTCTTTTTTCTTTTTTATCTTTCTTTCTTTTCGTCTGATTGTGTTCAATCGTTTTTTGTTTATTTTCTTCTTTTCGGTTTTCTTAATAGTTTAATCCTTTCTTTCTTTCTTTCTTTCTTTTCGCCTAATTGTGTTCAATCGTTTTTTGTTTATTTTCCTTCCTTTCTTTTCTTCTTTCCGGTTTTCTTTATAGTTTAATCCTTTCTTTCTTTCTTTTTTATCTTTCTTTCTTTCTTTCTTTCTTTCTTTCTTTTCGTCTGATTGTGTTCAATCGTTTTTTGTTTATTTTCCTTCCTTTCTTTTCTTCTTTTTGTTTATTTTCTTTCTTTTTTATCCTTTCTTTCTTCTTTCGTCTGATTGTTTTCGTTTTTTGTTTATTTTCCTTCCTTTTTTTCCTTTCGGTTTTCTTTTCTTTTTTTTCTTTCCTTCTTTTTTATCTTTTCTTTCTTTCTTTCTTTCTTTTCTTTCTTTCTTTCTTTCTTTTCGTCTGATTGTGTTCAATCGTTTTTTGTTTATTTTCCTTCCTTTCTTTTCTTCTTTCCTGTTCTTCCTTTGATATTTTCTAACCCTAACATGATGTAATACAAAGCCAACTCCGTGTTGGATCAAGGTAGAAAGATTTTATTGCGTCAGTTTTTAAAGTGGAGAGATGTTGCCTGTTTGAAATCTCAACATATATTAGAACACGGACCACCAGTTGCGTTGAGAGATGTACTACGAAGCAGACTTCAGCTCTTATTATCTCAATTCATTTATTCAGCATGGAAGTTCTGTTCATCCATTTTCTTTTGATTCATAATCTTAACAAATATTCTCGTTCGTTTGTTTAATCTTCAGATTTTCAGTAAATTCATCATCTAATCTTACCTTTCAATCGGTATATCGCGAGGTGGACGATTTCTTTTCTTTTTTAACTTTATTATACTGCTTCCATATTTCGTATTATTTTCTTTCTTACGGGTTCCATCTTTTTACATTTCGTTTTTTCTTCTCTCTTCTATTCCTTCTTGATTATCTTCTTCCCGTTTCCTCTCCCATTCATTTTTTTCTTTTTTCTTCTCTTCCTGTCTTCCTTCTCTTTTTTCCCTATCACGCTACTTTCTATTATTTTCTTCCTTCTTCTCTTTCTCCTTCCTTACCTACTTTTTCCTTTTTTTCTCATGTCACATTTAACATTGTTTTGCTTCTATCTCGTTTTCCTGTTTCTCCCACTCCTCTCTTTTCCCCATACTTCTCCCCTTTCATTATTTTTCTTCCTCTTCCTTTCCCCTTTTCTCGTCTAGTCCTCCTCTTCTCTCTTTTCACATTTTTTGCTCCCCCTTGCATTGCTTTCTTAATACTCTATTTCTCCAACTTTCCTCCTCCTCTTCCTCATCTCTTTTTCTATATTTCCCCTCCCTTCCATTATTTTCTTCTTCTTCCTTTCCCCTTTTCTCGTCCTGTCCTCCTTCTCTTGCTTTTCACCTTTTTCTTCTCCCTTGCATTACTTCCTTATTTCTCCTCCCCATTCCTCCTCCTCCTCCTCCTCTCTTTTCCCCATATTCCCCCCTTTCATTATTTTTCTTCCTCTTCCTTTCCCTTTTTTTTAGTCCTTCTCTTTTTCTTTTTTTCCCTTTTTTTTCTCTATTCCTCCCTTTCCTCCTCCTCTCCCCTCATCTCTTTTCTATTTCCCCTCCCTTCCATTATTTTTCGTCCTGTCCTCCTTCTCTTGCTTTTCACCTTTTTCTTCTCCCTTATTACTTCCTTATTTCTCCTCCCCATTCCTCCTCCTCCTCCTCCCTCTTTTCCCCATATTCCCCCCCCTTTCATTATTTTTCTTCTTCCTTTCCTTTTTCTAGTTCTCCTCTTCTCTCTTTTCACATTTTTTGCTCCCCCTTGCATTGCTTTCTTAATCCTCTCTCCTCTATTTCTCCAACTTTCCTCCTCTTCCTCATTATTTTCTTTCCGTTATTTTTCATCTTCTTCATTTCCCCTTTTCTCGTCCTGTCCTCCTTCTCTTGCTTTTCACCTTTTTCTTCTCCCTTGTATTACTTCCTTATTTCTCCTCCCCATTCCTCCTCCTCCTCCTCTCTTTTCCCCATATTCCCCCCTTTAATTATTTTTCTTCTCTTCCTTTCCTTTTTCTCGTCTTTCCTCCCTCTTCTCTCCTTTCATTTTTTTCCCCCTTGCATTGCTTTCCTCTATTTCCTTTCCTCCTCCTCTTCCTCATCTCTTTTTTTTCCCACCCTTTCATTATCTTCTTCTTCTTTTCCCTTTTCTCGTCCTGTCCTCCTTCTCTTGCTTTTCACCTTTTTGATCCCCCATTGCTTCTTTTTCTCCTCCCCATTCCTCCTCCCCCTCCTCTCTTTTCCCCATATTCCCCCCCTTTCATTATTTTTTCTTCCTCTTCCTTTCCCTTTTCTAGTCCTCCTCTTCTTTTTCCTCCCCCTTGCATTCTTTCTTAATCCTCTCTCCTCTATTTCTCCAACTTTCCCCCTCCTCTTCCTCATCTCTTTTTCTATATTTCCCCTCCCTTCCATTATTTTCTTCTTCTTCCTTTCCCCTTTTCTCGTCCTGTCCTCCTCCTCTTGCTTTTCACCTTTTTCTTCTCCCTTGTATTACTTCCTTATTTCTCCTCCCCATTCCTCCTCCTCCTCCTCTCTTTTCCCCATATTCCCTACCTTTTCATTATTTTCCTTCCTCTTCCTTACCTTTTTCTCGTAACGTCCTACTCCTCTCTCTTGTCACCTTTCCCTTTCCCTTACATTATTCTTCTCCCTATTTCTCCAAATTTCCCCCCTCCTTTTCTCTTTTCCCCATATTTCCCCACCTTTTCATTATTTTTCTTCCTCTTCCTTTCCCCTTTTCTCGTCCCATCTTCCTTTTCTCGCTTCTTACCTTTTTCCTCTCCCTTGCATTATTTTCTTTTCCCTCTTTTTTCGCATGTCTCATCTGGTATTATTTTGCTTCCATCTTTTTTCCTAATTCTTGACCTTTCCTTCTTCTTCTTTTTCTCCCTATTTTTTCATCCTTTCATTATTTTTCTTCCTTTTCTTTTTCTTACTTCCCCTCTCTCATTTCTGATTTCCTTTCATTATCTCTAAGTTTCTTTAGACCCGTTTCTATTAACGTTTATAATCGATTCCACATTTTCTCTTGCTGTTTTCTTCTTAATTTTCTTTGTTTTTACTTACCGTTCCATTTTCCTTCGTTTTCCACTCGTCTTTCCTGCTACACGACCCTCGCTTTTATCTCTCCTACCTTTATATTTCTATATCCCCCCCTCTTCACTTTCTGCATATTTCCATACCTTTTTTCCTTCCCATTTCTCTTTTCTCTTTCTTCTACCCTTTCCTTATTTGACTCAGTTTTTCTGCTTCTCACTTGATATTCGTTATCCTTCTTTTAAAATTTACTATCTTTCTCTTTCTTTACGTATCTTTTTTCTTCGTTCTTTTCTCTCTCTCTTTTTTATTTTCCTTCTTCATTTTCCTTTCGATTCTTTCATTTACCTATCAATATTTTCTTTCAGTCTTTTATATTTTCTCTTCTTTTTTTCTAGATAGTTTTTTTTTTCTTTCAGTCTTCCTCCTAATATCTATACTCCCTTTCTTCAACTTTCCCTATCAAACGACGAATCACTTTTTCTTTTGTTTTCACATCTATTTACCTTTTAAAATCTCTCATACGGAGATCCACTCCAAAAATATAATCCATCGCATTGTAGAATTTCCGATATGTTCCACACGGTGCCATTCAAAAAGAATTTGAAAGGCATTGGCATAATATTTCCTGAATGCACATTTCTTTTGCACTAAGTAACATAGTATTTTCTGCCAAAAGACTCGAAGGAAATAGACAAAAGGCATCGGCAGACGAGAGCGTATCGTAAACGCAATTGTTCGTTCGATCTGATCTATAATCGGTCGGCTGCAAAAGATTTCAAATAATTACTTTTGAAGGGAAGAATAGATAAAAATTACCCCGCATCTCATCTTAAATCTCAAAACGTCTAATGTTCGGCCCATTCAGTCTTTGGGCTTTTTCGCTTGAATTCAAATTGATTTTATGACATTTGAGATGAAAACAAAAATCGATTAATTTGTTCGAATAACGAATTTTTCTTCCCCAAAAAAAATGAAGAAAAAGAGGAAAATTGCTGAAATTCAAGTATTTGCAGGAAGTTTCTTCAAATTACTCAAACTTTTTATATATACATATATATATATATATATATATATATATATATATATATATATATATTAGTGTCACATGATTTTTAACTTCCTATAAGGTAGATAATACGAAAGCAATGAGGGTGGTTCGCTACAATGTGCATGTTATAGTGGGTCTTAGCTGTGAAGGCTAGCACTGGTGGAATTAAGGAGTAAAGTTCATCTGAAAACTCTCCATGGAGAGAGCGATAAAGCAGCGAGTGTCTTGTGACGTTTCGTCTGTGAGAAAGGGGTTTCAGAGTGGAAAATAATTCGTCGCCTACAAGGACGCGGAGAAGCTTTTGTACTCTGTCGAAAGTGGAAAGCGAAGACTGGTCTGCTCTTGCTCATATATAGAAACAACACTCAACATTCGGCTGGATTTGGGTCTTATAAGTGTCGAGGACAGTAGGAGGATTGAGGTACTTGCTGGAGCGCTACAAGGAATCGATCATTTTTTCCCAGCATCTTTAGCGATGGATCGTATGTATCAATTCCATTTGAGGTCTGGGCAAAGTCAATAAAGGCACGAGACATCCCTCAGGGAATATCCGTTCATCGTGATTGGTGTAAGTTCTGAATCCGATAGTCGATGGTGGAAGGTCACCAGTTTGGTTTTCGAGGTCTTGAATGTGACAAGCCAGTTCCCAACCCCTACTGAGCTGTTAAAGCTAGGTCAGAAGAGAAATCTCTTGCCATGCTCTGGTAATCGATGGTGATGTTTACATCCTGATTTTTTGCCAAATGATAAAAGTCTGTAACAAAGTTTAAATGAACATATTATTCATCATCACAGTCGGAGTTTCATGCACAACACAGTCTTCAAGTGCTGACTGCTACGTAATTTTAATTTTAATAAAAATATCTGGTTAATGCCATATTGACGCAGACTATATATTTTATAGGGATTGCAGTTTTTTTGTTATTTTAAAATATATCTGCATTTAAAATAAGCGGGATTTATATTATATTATATTATATATATATATATATATATATATATATATATATATATATATATATATAATTTTATTTAAAGTTGTGAATATTAATTTTATATAAAATAAAAATAAAATAAGATTACTGGGTGTAATTCTTAAAGATTAAAATTAATAAAAATGTAAAAAAGAGAAAAGTCACAATTTCCATTAAGAATAAATATGGATCAACGTATTTCAAAAGATAATTATTTTTATGCCTTCTAGATGTAATCATCAATTCATTTCACTTATTTAATAAGCTAGGGTTATTTAAGTGTTTTCAGATTTAATTTTTCTACAAGGCATAAATTACAACCATCGCCTTTTCCATTATTACCTTGGGCTTTTGCTACAATATCCCACGTGATAATGCGTGTATTATAATCATTCTATATGTGTGATCTCTCTCTGTCTCTGTCTCTGTCTCTGTCTCTCTCTCTCTCTCTCTCACACACACACACACATATATATATATTTCACTGAATAATATAGACATATATTTATTTTTATAATCTTTTCTAGTTCCCTAATTATTTTATTGGTGTTTTGTCGTTAGGCTTCATCAAGGAAGGCGACGTAGTTCTTGTTCACCGATGTGCTTTCGATTTCCTCCAAGGTCATCCTCAGGAGTGAATTGCGAAGAAAAACCTAATATAATTGTAATCGTTGTGATGGTGACTTTTGTAAATAAGTGTGAACGCGCACTGTTATATTCATTTTAAAATTAACCGCTGAAGCTAGGATGTTTTTTGTAAGCAAATGTTAGTCAACTCAAATTCAGTTTAAAACATTGCTTCTACACTCGTAATAAATTTTGTTGAGTGTTGGTTCCTTGATTTTGATATAAAGAGCCTCGAGAATTTAAAGATTTTGTTTATTATTTTCACGATGTAGTATATTGGTGTTGTCAACAAGTATTTTCCTGTATTGGGAAGGCAGACAAGAAAGTGTCCTAAAATGTTGTGCGATATAACTTGTATCCGACAAATGGAGTTTAAGACATTTTGATAATAATGTTTCATTGGTTATATATATATATATATATATATATATATATATATATATATATTCAAACAGGTTTGGTTAAATAATTTAGACATCATGTCGATTAGTCTTCGTTGTGATCCTTTCAATTTTGCGGATAAATTTTTTGGTAGACTTAGAAAATTGAGTAAGAAAAATACCAAAATTTTCTTTCGAATAGTTTTTATTTTCCCAAGTACTTTCAAATTCACCTGAGACCATTTTCAGGGGCTTGAGTTGTCTGTAAGCATGTATATGTGTTTTTGTGAATTTAAAACATTTGATTTCGATTTTTTTATGCTTACGTAGCGTTCTAGATCTGAAAATTCAAAGTTCAATCTTAACATTTTTTTTCCAATATAAGGCAAGTAACTTTCTTGCTTTTGCTCATACGTATATATATATATATATATATATATATATATATATTTCATAAGCATTTAAGGACTTTGTTGCTATACTCATAGTTGACTATAAACAGGAGAAAAAATTCGACAAAGATCTAATAAACACTAATATATCTCCCACTGAAACAAGTAAAAAAAATACAATTAATTATATATTATACTAAATTTAAGCCAATCAACCTTGTTGTCCAAAACAACTCTTCTCAGCCAATTAACATCTTGTAAAAGGCCAACATTGTATATCAATTTAAATGTCCTTTAGGAGAATGTATCACTGATAAAAATGTCAATACGTACGTTGGCTTTAGGAGATGTATGACGTGGCATTTTCGTTTAGGATCGATTTCATCACGAAGCTTCTGTTAGTTTTTCTGGAGAGTAATTATACATTCTTATTGCTCAAAGTAGAGTCCACTAGTATTATGAAAACCTCGGAGAATTACTCCAGTAAGGTATCTTTAATCATTTCTTAGATACACCGTTTCAAATCTT